TGGACATATATCTGTGTTCATATGGAAAAGTAGCTTATGTCGAAAGGCTGGCTTTAGTATAAATCGGCATTCGCAGCATACGATTGCGAATGACTCACTGGCGGTAAGCCGTTGAACAACTTTTAGCAAATAAACGTGGAAGAAATAGTTCCGATACTAGCAAGTCAATATTCTTATTAAGTCTCATCAAAAAATTCCTTGCCGTTTAAAAAATAAAGGGATTGCCGCATTATACTAAAGCCAACCTTTCGACATAAGCTACTTTTCCATACGAACACAGATATGTATATAAATAAATATGTACATAAAGAGCATATGTTTGTACGTACATATGTATGTATGTTTATGTCTAAATTTGTATGTCCATAGGTAGCTGCTGCATACAAATTGGAGAAGAATTCGATGGTCGATGGTTGATTGCTGACTAGCAAAATATACATACTACATACATATGTATGTATGTACATATGGACATACGAGTGTTAACACATTTTGCTTAGAATTGTTTACTTCGGCATAGAGAAATACAAAAGCATGTATGAATGTACATATGGATGTGTATATTTCTGTGTCTTTACAGAGTGCATACTTGAAATACTTTTTTATACCAATGTTTTTAAGTTCGGAATTTCTTCAAAATCTAATTGAACTGAAATACTGAAAATAAATTATTGATGTCGAAGTTTGTTTTAGATTCTATTAGATCTTTAGGGAGTAATCTACTGACCTTTGTACAAAGTATTACCTTTTCTTTAGTTCCACACCAGTTCTAAATTCCACAGTTCATATCTAGTTCGCTTTGCATCTTTTTGTCTATAGTTTCGTACCAGCTATTGACTGTGCAGAGGTGCTTGCTATTAGGTATTTGTTAGATTTTAGAAAAGCCCAGGTTCGAGTTTTGGAAATAATATGTAGTAGTATTAGTTTTTGTTTTGTGTTTCAAAACTATGAAAAAGCATCTGTGAAGTGCAGGAAGAAAGCATGCTCGAACGAGAAAAAACGGCCGAACAAAAATTTCTTTATAGTAAACAAATGATGTGTGGGTACCTGCGCTTCATCCTTTTTCCGATAGTACCGAACCAGTTCTAAATCTTAGATATATGTACATTTCTAATTAGAAGTTTTTGTATTCTTTAGGACTTAACGCATATTCTGTGACTATTTTGATCTTAGATCCGCCAATACTTGAATAGAAACAGTTAGAACCAGGGAACGGATTTTATGGAAATTACCTTTTTTTTGCTAAAGAGATAGAGTATATTCGATTAAGAATGTCCACGATTTAGTTTTCCCTGATTCCGTATATACACATTTGATTTGCCTTTTTTTGGCGTTTTTTAGGGCAAGGAAACAGCCCTTAATCCTGATAATATGAACGTTTTAAACGTTCCATATTTAAATTAGGCGCCACTAGTATCAACTCACGTCAGGCGCATGTTTAGTACATTCAAAGCTTTTATTCGCGAAAATCGAATGAAAACGCTTTTAAAATGCATCTTGTGGTTCAATGTTCAACTATTGAGATTAAAGTTTTGTGAGTTGAAAACTCGAAAGAGGAAAATAGTCAATGATTCAAAGTACAATTTTTTCATATAATGAAACTAGTTCATAGCTTTCCACTTTTTACTTGTAAAATAAACATTTCTAAAATAAATGTTTTTTTTGATTATTTGTCGGGTTTTGTCCTTTTTAGTGCCTTTTTCGCGGTTTCTAGTGCCTTTTCATGCCTATTTCGCTATTTATTTTGCCTTTCCTAGTCTATTTCGTTATTTTACTTTGCCTTTTTTATAGATTTTTAGGTCCTAAAAATCCATTCCCTGGTTTTAACTAATAAAGGTAGTTTGCTATTTTCGAAAACGATACATGTTTTGGCTGCTTGCATATGTTTTTATAGAAAAGCAACTTTTTTATTAGCTAGCGATATGCGGTTTTAAAAGTAAAAAAAAAAAATAGTTTCGAAAAAGTACCACATTTCACTGCTTTTGGACCGGGCGGAATCTAATTACTATCGCATCAGTTCATTTTTTGGCGTTAAAGATCCAGTACTGAACTACATATTTAATTCACTAGCTCGAGTTTTCCCTGCAGGGTATATATGTACATACATACATATGTACGTACTGTATCTAGTTTCCAACAGCTCTGCTAGGGGTAATAAAACCATAATCAACAAAGAAAGGAATTTCTTGGAATCTTCTCGGAAATTACATTTTTTCTTTAGTCTTATATGATTTCTTTGATTACCTAAAGGCTTAAGTTTCGATTTCAATAAAGATGGGATCACAAATAATAAACAAATTAATTTCCAATTGAAAAATAATTGTAAGAACCAGGGCTTTTGCTGTTTAATTTTTAGCTCCTTATTTTTGAATTAAGTGCTTATGTATGTAGATACGTAGATACATACATACCTTCATATAAGTATGTGCTTCTAAATATTAAAATTAAAAATATTAAATTCTATCTTATTTCCCTTTTCTTTTACAGGAAATGTGTATGTGTTAGTGCGTAAGATATAATCCACCAAGAAATCGAATACTTTACGTCCAATCGACGGTGTTTTTCGAAAAAAGAAAAGAATCTAACGATTGACTATCAATTAGTCGTTCTCCAATGCGAATGGGGTGGAGCGCGCCCCTCTTAAAACAAGTCGCCTCCATGAAGTTTTATAAACAAAATGGTACGTGAAGAAACCCAAAAAATTTGTTTTGGTCAAATACCCGAAGCGAGATTGCGCGAGGATACAAAAAATAGAGAACATTTAAAAAGGTAACTCGGTTTTTGGAAGATTCGTGTTATATTATAAAAATTAGTACCTACAAAATTAAGTATACAAATATCTGATATATGAACTGCATGTAACTTCATTTACTTATGTAAACATCTCCGAAATATTTGGGGCAATTATTTAATCCACCGTATAAAATCTACGAAACCATGTCCAAGCCACGGATACGAAAAAATTGCTTCCACTTAGTCCTAGTGAACTCGAACGATTGGAAGAATTAACTATGTAGATCGTCGAAAAAACAGCTGTTGGTTCGTAGATAAAGCCCGAGGCATTCCGTATCTTAGAACCGGCTGTCGTGCGAATGTATGTATGTATATGTTTGAGAAGCAGATTAAACTCCTTCTTATCCAGACTCGACCATGACATTCCCAACATAAGTATGTCACTCATCTGAAGGTGCCTCTCATTATGCTAACCACCTCCTCTCATGCCTCCTTAAACCCAATAGATTTACACTAACCTGTCGAAATAGTACGTTTCCCCATCATACCGTTAGTTGAGCCTGATGACAACGATTGAAAGACCAGCTTATTTAGTAGGGCTAAGTTGTTGCTATAAAACAAATGTGAACTCGAAAACATTATTGCCAGATTTGAATAAAATACTTTACTGCTTCGAGGTCATTTGGTGAAAAGTAAACAATTATATTATGAATAATATTGCGTTGTGTTCTACATAGTACGAGAATTTTTAAATAATTTCATAGTAATTAATAGTGAAGTACATTTCCGCGAATATTTATAGCAGGCATGTCCACATCCAGGTGGTATTCCGCCAGGAGTTTTTCACTTTTTATTCGCATCACTGCAGTTCCCGTTTCGTCTTACTGGAGTGAAGGGACGTAAGTATCGTTTGTATACATGGGTTGGGATCTTTTTCCTCAAATGTATCACCTACATATGTCACCATTTAAGCTTTTTCCTAATACATATTGTGACGACGATATTGTGGACGACTGCTAGCAAATTTCAAACCTCGATTCTGCAGGAAAAGCCTGCGACCTTAAAACATTAGAATTTTTTCGGACATATTTTTCTGGTTTAATTCCGGCCTGCCAGTCTTTCAAGGCTTTTCACGTTTTTGGCTCTCTTTTCTCTACCTTGTAAACAAGTATATTTTGCCTATAGTTTTCCTCGGTATCGATCAAATGTTGTTACCTCCAGCCTCGGTCCGGCTCTCTTCCTTCTGCCATTTGTTTTTAGCCCCTTTGCATTGACACGGAGACATTGGGAGATGGAATCCTACTAAGTATGCCAGCGATGAGGTGTTGCTTTAACCAGAGTAGCTATGTTGTAACGAGTTAGCGACAATTTCACACCTCTATCGCTTGTGACATTTACAGAAGATATGAATAAATTTCGCGGTGAGAAAAGCCTCAGAACTTACCTTTAGTGAAGCTGAAGCACCGGCACGTCTTTTGGGTTCCAGACCATGAGAGCCCTTGTTGGCATGAGTGATTATGCGTTGGGTTTCTATGCTGACATTATTAACGGCCTTACTGCTAATTCCCAAGTAAACGAAATTCTGTACTTTATTGAAATTATAACTGTGAACAGTGACGTGAGTGCTAAGACGCGAATGAACTGACTGTTTGTTTGATGACAGGAGATACTTCGTCTTGTACTCGTTGATCAACAGACCCAATGGCTTTGCTTCCTTATCCAACTTGCAAAGGCAGAACAGACTTCGCGGTTCTTACAACCGATGATGTCGATGTCATCGGCATACGCCAGAGATTGCACGCTCTTGTAAAAAATTGTTCCTGTTCAGTTCTGCGGCTCTTATTAACTTCTACAACATCAGATTAAAAAATAAAACGGAGTCTCTAACACCTCTTTTGGTAGCAATTGTCTCGAAGAGGTCTTTCCCATTTCTGATGAGGCTAGTGGTAGTGCTTAACGTCATTTTATACAGCCGTATCAGTTTCGCGGGGATGCCAAATTCAGAATTGCGGCGAAATCGCAAATAGATGGTGAGTGTTGATGCTTTGGCGTTCCATGAATACCTGGTCTAAAGCCCCACTGATAAGGACCCCTGTCACCTATGCTTAGAAGGTTGATCCCGCAGTAGTTAGCACGTATGGCTGGATCGCCTGTCTTGTGGATTGGGCAGACCACATTTAAATTTCAGTAGTCGGGCATGCGTTCATCGGACCATATTCTGCATAAGAGTTGATGCATGAAACTTATCAGCTTCTCGTCGTCGTATTTGAATAACGCATAGACAGGGGACTTGGGTTCGTCTTCTCCACAACTTTCCATGCGGCTACCATTCAATAGGGTGGAAAAGAGTTTCCTCAATTTCTTGCATTCTAGGAAAAATCTGACTTCGGTGGATTCAGTGATAACCCTGAATATGTACGGTGGGCGAATCATAGTAAATTTGTATAAAATATTCTCCATGTTAAATCGTATTCGTTAATACCTAAAGCCACATGCATTCATACTACATCAAAGTTTCAAACCTCCTACTGAATCCCCAAAAAAATGTTAAAATTTAAAAAACTCGTCATCGAAATTCCAAACCATTGAATCAGAGCTTTTAAAAAAATTCTGGGTATGTAGTTTTGTAGTCTATTGGATTTTAGTATGATAAACTGAAAGTTTTAAGTCGCTGAAGTTTGTAACTTTGATGTATGTATGTATGTATGTGGTTTTAGTTATAGAATGAACTATAGTTTTATTAAAAAGTACGGAAAATTTTTATCATGCAAAACATTGTGAATATTCTAGACAAATTTACTGGATGCTTTTCACTGTGAGTCACTGTATGTACATATTTATGTATGTATGTGTGCGAGGCAATTAAAAACAAGAACAAAGTAACATTAACTTTCAGACGGGTGAAATATTAGGGAAGTGGTGGAAGCGAAATGACGCCGAAGTAATTTCTTATCAAAAACAATTTCAAACAGGCATTTCATTCATTCAAATGAAGTCCATACGCCAATTTCACCCCAATCAGTCTACAATTTGCATCTTGCCATCAGTAAAAGCGTTGATAGCTAGAACACAAACAGTACGACAGCTGCTTTAACGACGACCACAGAAGAGAGCTAAAGAGTCAATCGTAGTAGCAGCTGATGTGGCATTAAATGAAATGCGAGTTGTGGATTATACTTACTTTCAGAGGAGAATATATGTTTTTACATACATATATGCGAGTACATATATAAATATGTACATTTAAGAAGGCAATCGGCAGAATACTTATGTATAAAAAGGCATCCATACTTACATAGTATGTATATATGTACGTACATAAATTATCGCATTTTAATGGTCAATAAGGGACGTACAATATGTAAGTAGTAATTATTTTGGTGGCATGTTGTTGGAAGTTCGCTGCTACACAGGATACCAAATACAAAGCCAAAGCGGTATTGTCAAAAGTTGGACTTCCTGTATGTGCCCTCGCATCCATAGTACTTCTGTACATATACTATGTATGTTTTTATATACAAACACAGATATACATCATACATAAGCATGTGCATACACGTTATACTCATAGGTAGCCGACAAACCGCGCAAAAGTTCTACGATAATCGTCTGGTTGCTGCTGGTACTGCAAAGATTCCTTCTTTATCGCGAAATGTCATTTCAATTTTCTTCTAGTAGGAACTCTACGCTTGCATTGGATATCTTTCGTCGCTTCGTTTGACCTTCTTCAGTTTTCTGCGCCGCTGGAGTTGTTTTGCTCATATACCAACGCACACATACACAGAGATCGGTGACTTTTGTATAGGTGTGCGTGAGTGCGTCCCATGAATAGTATAATGAAAACAACTTCTAGTCGATAAACTACAGCAACTGCCTTCAACTAGCGTGTTGATGTTGCTGTTTTCATCCTCAGTCTGCCTTTTCACTTTGGTGACTCCACGCACATTTCCAAATGAACTCAACGCCGTCCAACCAAGCGATTCACCAACTAGTCAGCCAGTCAACCAGCCATCAAATAAAAATAAACACCAAAGCAACAAAAAAAGCTTGTATGACGTGTAGGTAAATGTCGTCAAAAGTTGTCGGAATCGGCAGAATAAGTAGGCAGCCAGACTGACAGGCAGGCGAAAAGTGCGCCGCGTTACTCAGCCAGGCAGCTACATATCAGCTTCGCACGAATGCTTGTATGCCAAAGTACGATTTTGCCGTAAGCGAGTGGTGTGTGTGTGTGTGCGTAAATATAGTGATGTTTGTGGTAGTGCACATCCACCCCAATAACATGCTGTGCTGTGAAATGTGGCAACGTCGCAATGCCAACAAAGTTGTTTTGCTGTATAAATCCATTTGCGATTTGCCTGGCTGTGTCGCTGTGTAGTGCTGTTGTTGTTTCTTGACTTTTCTTCTGCCTGCTCTGTCGGTTTCTGCGCGCCAGTGTATCTGTGAGATACAAAGAAGCAGCTATAAATTTGCTCATTCGCTCGCTGGTTGGTTTGTTTGTAATGTGATAATTTTAGCTACGTTTCAGGTTATTTCTACACGTCATGGTAGAGTTGTCTGCCTGCCTGCCTGCCATCGCTCCTGTCCCTCTCCGTTCGCTCGGAGTCAGTCGCGACGAAACTCTGGCCGTTCGTCCGTCCAGCTACTCGTCTGCGTATAGCACGGTTGATGTGTGCGCGTTTACCTTTTTTGTAGGCTATGTTGTCGCGCTGTATTTGTGCGCCTTTGCGCGCATTAGCTCCCATTTGTATGGGTTTCCTTCGTCAACTTATTTTCTCGATTCTCATGCCTTTTTTGCAGATACTAGATATTTATTTTTCCTTTTACGTTTTTTTTTCTTTGGTAGGTATACATAATTCATGATAATTCCATGTCTCTGCCGCTGTCCGTGTTGTAGTTGTTATTCTCTGTTATTATATTCGATGCATTTCCATTTGAATCATGCGCCTGTTCGACGAGTATCTGACGGATACACGTTGGGTAAACAATTTTTTTTGTGAATTATCTTTTTTCTATTTACATATGTATGCCATTTACCT